AATGCAACACATCTTTGCATCATTAAATAAATGTTCCACAGCACAAACAAACGTAACACATCTTCAGCTATTATTCTACAACATATAGTGTGTTCAATGCTGTTTAGAGCTAATTGGTATTTTGATTTTATGATCATCTGTGCTGAGAGCATCAATTCCTATAACGGCAGAAGTATACTCAGGGCCATTTCGGAAACTGCTGGAAATTCTATCTCAATCTTAACCCCAAATTCCTTTTTTGTGAAACTCAAGTCAGCAACCCAAACTACGATTTTCAAAATCAAACATTTTAACACAATTATGACTCAGACACCAATTTGACGTATGCTGAGGAATGATGTTAGAAAAGCGTTGAGTCTTTGTTTTTTGTAGTTAAACCATTATGAGTCTTTGAGGAAGAACGTTGTATGCGCAGTAAAAACCCTGCAGTTTGTAACTTGTGATAGTCTCAGGCAGAGTCCCGCTGGCATTGTGTAGTCGGAGGGCACGCACAGCAGAGCATATGTCTGTTTTGTGTTCAGAACCACGTCTACAGTGAAGCCAGGACATGCAACAAACACAGCAGAAACGCCTGGGAGTCGTTTTTTCATTTGATTTCGATGGAGTTTTTGTTGCAGACACTGAGAATCCTTTTGTTGTTGACAGCTCTTACATACTGGAAAGCCAGGCATGGTGGTCCCCACTTTAATCCCAGCATTTGGTAGGCAGAGGTAAGTGGATCTCTTTGAGTTCCAGGCCAGCCTGGTCTACAGAATGAGTTCCAGGCCAGCCTGGTCTACAGAATGAGTGAGTTCCAGGCCAGCCTGGTCTACAGAATGAGTGAGTTCCAGGCCAGCCTGGTCTACAGAATGAGTGAGTTCCAGGCCAGCCTGGTCTATAGAATGAGTGAGTTCCAGGCCAGCCTGGTCTACAGAATGAGTTCCAGGCCAGCCTGGTCTACAGAGTGAGACCCTGTCCCCGCAAAAAACAAAAACAAAAACAAAATGAAACAAAACAACTCCCCTTCTCTGGTGTCCCGACCCACAATCTAGGCAGTAATATGCGGCTGGAGAGATGCTGAGAGGTCAAGAGCCGGGCTGCTCTTGCCGAGGGCCTGGGTTTGGTTCCCAGTACCCACATGGTGGCTCACAAACATCCATTACTCCAGATCCAAGAGATCTGAAGTCTTCTTCTGCCCTTGTTACAGAATTGGAGATGACCGGGAAAAGATCACCAGACTCAACTCCGATGATAATTAGCAGAATTTATAAAAACTGCCAGCAGGGCCGCAGTCTCTACCTCAAATCAGAGCCATGCCGCACAGAAGTGGGTGCAGGAAGGGGTTAAAGGTGAAAACCACAGGAGCTGTTCTGTTCGGTCAAGATTGGGTGGGCAAGGCAACCTCAACATAGTCTTTGAATATCTGCATAAGCAAGTTCCAGAAGCCAAATCACTTAGACGTAGCATCACATGCAGATGGTCATGGCTGTCCATCTCTGGGTGGGCGTCAAGGAGTCAGGGTTGCTGGGACGGATCTTCCAGGAACTTGAGTCAGAGACAAATGGCTATTGGGTACCACGACGGATGCCTAGCACAAAATGGAGTTTCTTTAGTCATCACACGCTCATGGGCATGACACACACGTGGTGCTCTGACACCCAAACAGGTAAACCCCTCTCCACCCAGAATAAATACGTACAAATTTTTAAAGAGGCCGTGTCTTGGAGAACCCCCATACCTGCCCTCAAGGACACACACAGCAACTGCTCGGTGGTCTGTGGGGGAAATATCACTGGCCTCTGTCTTCCGACTATGGCTTTCCATGCTTCTGGGGTTAAAAGAACCATCCTCTCCTGAAAGAAATGAGGTGGGACTTCATGAGGAGAAAAAAAAAAAAAACATAAGATTTTTTTCTTTTCCTAGGACTGGGGTTGAACCCAGGGCCTTGAATGAGTTAGGCCAGCTCTCTACTGCTGAACTACATCCGCAAGTCCTGCTCGCACTTTTTATTTGGAGACAGAATCTCCCTAAGTTGCCCAGTCTGGCCTTGAAGCAGCAGTAGGTGGGCCAGGAAGGACTCACACTTCTGATCTTCCTTCCTCATCCCCGAGAGCTGGGCTTACAGGCCTGCACCACCAGGCCAGTGTGAGCAGTACTTTTCAAAGCACCAAATAGACAGTTGGTAATGGAGACGTGGGAGACGTTGCCTGTCTTTGTGATCCAAATGTCCAGAAACTGGCGATCTAGAAGAGCAGAAATCAACCTTTAAGCAACTGAAAGCCTTTCTGGCAGACACATTAGGAACAACGAGAAGCCAATGAGCTAGATTTTAATCATATTTTATTTGCCATAACTTATCCAGAACATTAGCAGTTCAGTGTACAGTCAATATCAAAATGACTACAATATTTTACTTTTAGAAACATTATTTTTATTTTATGTGTACGAGTGTTTTGCCTGCATGTATGTATATGCACCACGTGTGTGCAGGTACCCAAGGAGGCCAGAAGAGGGTGTTAGATATACCAAAACTGGATTATACATGGTTATGAACTGCCATGTGGGTTCTGGGACTGAACCTGGATCCTCTGTAAGAGCAGTCAATGCTCTTAACCGCTGAGCCATCTCTACTGGAACCTTCCACCCCCCATTTCTGTTTGTTTTCCAAGACGTGGTTTCTCTGGCTGTTCTGGAACTTGCTCTGTAGACCAGGCGGGCCTCGAATTCAAAGATCCGCCTGTCTCTGCCTCCTGAGTGCTGGGATTAAAGGCATGCGCCACCACTGCACCACTGCCCAGCGGCCCCCACCCCCCCAGTTTACTTTTTTAAAATACTAAGTCTTTGACACAAAATGTGCATTACACCAACTGTAGGTCTCGGTCTGCATTCATTACCCTTCAAGTGTCAGGCCGCCGAGTGGTCAGCATAGCTCTAGAACTCTGATGCTCAGCGAGTATTTCAGGCACGTGGGAACGAATGGACGCCATGGTCTGACTAGGAAGCTGGGTCGGGTCCTGTGCCACTAAGACGGGGTGGCCACCAGGGGGCGGGAGAGCACAGGTCGACCTACTTCATTGTGCCATCCTTGCCTGGAACTCGGGGTGAGGATACAGTGTCACTCAGAGTGCCCAGACAGCGGGTCTCTAAGGTCCCTGTGATCAAGTTCCTAGGTGTCCCATCTGCCGTGGACCTCTTTCCCTTTCCGTGGTTCGGCCCTCCCCTGTAAGAAGGGGAAGAGAGGTGAGACAGCCCGGAAGGCATAGGTGTGAGATCTTCCTGAGAGGTCAGAGCGGACCCGAGGCCCTTGACTCACGAAAGCCCTGGGCCTGGTCCTCACCGAGCCAAACAGGACAGCTGGGACTACAGGAAGCCCACAGCAGGGCCCACCGCCCCCCAAAGCTCGTCCCAGGGCACTCTTGGGTGTGCTGAGGACACACAGACCACCCTGTCCTCACAGCTGCTGTCCCCTCGTCAACCAGACTCGCAGCTGTCTTACCCAATCTCTTTTCCAGGCTGTCACACCTCAAATCTCCAGAACACTTCATTCCAACTGTTCCCCCGGAGATGCCTGCAGCCTGGCTCCCCCCTCAGAGAGGTCTGGGTGGTTTTCTACTCCCTGGGTCCTGGGCACACTCTCTGGCTGCACTGGTTTCTCTGTTTTCTGAGGCACTGCGCTGAGGGGGGTTCTGGAGGGGTGAGGCTCCAGAAATCCCTCCTGGGTATCTCCATCAGGATAAAATGGGGTTCTGTAGGTGGCCAGCCCCCCAACTCTCAGGTTATGTGAACCTGTCTCTTGCTCCCTACTAAAGGTTGGACACTTTTCAGAATGCCACTCTTAGCAGGTGGCCAATAAATATTCATAGCCTAAAGGAATGGCACACTCAGTGGGGGGGGGCTAAAGCATTCTTGGAATGGATGAATGGGTGAATGGCTTTCTCCACGGTTCTCTTGCGTCCCCATCTGAGTATGTGAGCCCAAGGGCAGCGTTTACCCAGAGCCAAATTTAGGGTGACTCCCAGACTTTTCAAAATCACTGCACAACATAGTCCAGTTTATCTGCACAACCACCCGCTAGGTAAGTGCTATGTCTCATTCCTCAAGGGAGGGGATCTAGGCCTGAGATGAAAGGATTGGGGGGGGGGCTCCAGATCTCCCAGCCAACACACAGCCCCCAGGCCTCTCAGGACAGTCTGCTCTTTATTTAGATAGAGTTTAGTTCCATGTGTGGGAATTGCATGTTTTCAATGGCATCTTTAAAAGCTCAATTTTTTTTGGTCTGTTTTTGTTTTACTTTGAGACAAAGTGTCACTTTGTAGTTCTGGCTGACCTCAAACTCACTATATAGACCAGGCTGACCTGGAACTCACAGAGATCCATCTTCCTCTGCATCCCAAGGACTGAGATTAAAGGCGTGTGCCACCATGCCTGGCTATTTCTCAATAGTATCTTTTGATATATAAAAGTTAAATTGTTTTTTATTTTGCTTTTGTTTTTTGAGACAGGATCTCATGAAGCCCAGGCTAGTCACAATTTACTATGTAGCTGAGGCTAATCCTGCCTCTATCTTCCAAATGCTGGGATCACAAACTAGGATTATGCACCGCACCTGGCAGAAGTTTACATTTTAATGAAAGCCCAGTGTGTCTGTTTTTCCCTCTTGTTTTGGGCTTGGACACTCATCTGATCCATGGGCCTGCCAGCATGCTGTCTCATTGGAGATGGTAAGATTCTGATATAGATTCAGTTCCCTCTCTGTTTCTCTCTCTATCTCTCTCTCCCTCCCTCCCTTCCCCTCCCTCCCTCCCTCCCTCCCTCTCTCTTCCTCCCCCCCCAGAGCCACGGAAGCCCCCCATACTGCCTTCTTTTGAGCTGCTGTCAAACCACCTGTCTAACCTCCTCCATCCTCTTTAGCCCAGGCTGGCCTCGAACCTGTGATTCCTGTTTACAGATATGTGCCACCACACTGGCCCTACCTCCTTATCTCAGAGAGTTCCTTTATCAGCATTATTTGCAAAACTTGGGAAATATTTGTGAGGCTTTTGTTTGTTGTTAAAGCAAGGTCTCACTATGTAGTTCTGGCTGGCCTGGAACTTGCTGTGTAGCCCAGGCTGGCCTCGAACTCACAGAGATCCGCCTGGCTCTGCCTCCCGAGAGCTGGGATTAAAGGCTTGCGCCACCACCGCCCGGCTGTAAAAATTTTAAATAAAAGAGAAAATCAAGTGGAATTTCACCACACCTCCACTGAAAACTGGTCAGTTTCTCTGTTGCCATCCATTCTAGCCCTCTCATGGGGTACCACTGAACCATGGGGGTGCTCTAGCCAGCACAAAGGTCTTTGCTGTAGTCTTTTCAAACACTGGCTTATCTTCAAACACTTGTTTTAGCTCATCTGCACATTTTATAATGGTGGAGACACACACACACACACACACACACACACACACACACACACACACACATCCCTACTCTGATGTTGACAGGACAGAACAGGTGGAGAGAGTGGGATGGGTGGATTTTGCTTGGAGCAGGACTTCCGTGGTGTGGCCTGACAGTGGCCCTAGGTCATACCGAAGGCACCTGGAGGTCAACCTGGTGGGTAGTATGAGGAGCCAGCCAGGCAGGGAAGTCTCCCTACAGCACAGCATGAACAGGCATATGGGGCAATTGCAAAGGCCATGTTTTTTGTTTTTGTTTTTTTCGAGACAGAGTTTCTTCATGTAGTTTTGGTGCCTGTCCTGGATCTTGCTCTGTAGCCCAGGCTGGCCTCGAACTCAGAGATCCGCCTGGCTCTGCCTTCAGAGTGCTGGGATTAAAGGTGTACCACCCAGCGCAAAGTCCATGTCTTAGGTGGAATTGGTCATATTGGGGCAGCAGGTTCAAAGACCTACACAGGTGTGTCTATCCTTCAGCCCTCGGGCCACATGTGTCCCAGGAGAGCTATGGATGCCACCTAATCCTTTGTAGGTGCCAATGTCATATCAAAATGTAGAAAGGCTGGGTGCTTTTGAATGTAGTAGCACACACCTGCAGCCCCAGAAATTTTTTAGGCAACACAGGAGAATCACTGTGAATTTAAGGTCAGTCTGGGCAAAAAAAAAATTAAATCAAGTTCAAGACCAGTCCCAGACACATAGCAAGAGCCTGTCGTAACATAAAAACAGGGGAAGGGAGGTAGAAAATAAGCAGAGACCTGCAGTGTGTGAGGAAGGTGTGACGCAGCTGGAGAGGCCATGTCTACCACACCAGTGACTTGGTGGTCCTCAAGATCTACAGAGTAGAAGTAGCTTGGGGACCGGAGCAGCAGAGACTGAGTTCCGTCTTAGCACCCATGTTACATAGCTTACAGCTGCCTGAAACTCACTCCAGGGGGTCCGATGCCCTCTTCTGTCTCCCTGGGCAACCGGATACACATGGTATATACTCCCGTAGACACAGACACATAAACGAAAACAAAAAGTAAGTCTTAAAAACAAAAAGGAGCTACTCATAAGAGTTTGCTTACCGACCAAAAACTGGAAAGGCCCCAACCACAGAACACATAACTATCAGCTCATTTAAATTGCTGATCCCTAAGACAACAGGAAACCGTGGCAACACCTTTGGGCAATAATGTAAGCAGGGAGGGGAAACTGTTCCTGCCAGTGTCTTATATCTAATGATATACCACGTAATTACAGCCCAGAAATAGACATATATATTCTTAGAAGACAGAAATAGAAAAATAGCAAGCCAGGAAAAAAAAAAAAAAAGTAACAGAACAGGTGCACCTGGGTGACAGGACTTTGCATGAGAGTTTTTTCATTTTAAATTTTGTTTACTATCTTAGTAAGCTTCTAACAAGATGTCCTTTAAA